ATATAAGGAAGAAATTCTTTACAATGAGGGTTGTGAAACACTGGAACAGGTTGCCTAGAGAGGCAGTGGAGGCCCCATCCCTAGAAACATTCAAGACCAGGTTGGACAGGGCTCTGAGCAACCTGATCTAGTTAGTGGTGTCCCTGTTCGCTGCGGGGGGGTTGGACTAGATGACCTCTAGGGGTCCCTTCCAACCCAAAACTTTCTATGATTCTATGATTCTATGATTCTATGATTCTAGGGGCAATGTGAGAGCTAGAGGTAGGTTAGTGGGGACACAGAGGGGCTGGCCAATATGTTATCAAGCTCTAAACCGAATGCTACAGACCGGATCACCTTCAGCGGTTGAGAAGAAGAGAAAATAGAGAAGCTAAGAAAGGAGGCTTGACTTTTCTAGTGGAAATGGCTGTCTCCTTTCATGCAGTCAGAATACCTGACCTCTTTTTTTCTTTCTCCTTATGCTCTCCACAAAACACTCCCATCCCATCAGGGTTGATAAAAATTGCTATAGCTTGTGAATGGCTGAGTCCTTGTCATGGCAAGGCACTGTTTTCCTCCAAAGAAATGCTTCTATCTCTAAGACTGACTTCTGAAGGCACGTTTTAAGGACGTCTTCCCTGAGGGATTGGCACTAATGGAGATATGTGGGTGCAAACACCTAGCCTAGGCATGTTTTAAACTATCACATGTGCGTATGGCTTGCCCTGCAGGTAATGATCGATCCCAAACAGGTATGTCTTTTAGAGCACATACCTTCCTCACTTAATCCCCTCATCCTTTTCTTCAATGAGTAGAAAGCCCCATTAATAGCTTTCAGTCAATAAAAGGCTAATCAATACAGCTGTTATCTCCTGCTACGTCCTTAGAAGTTTTGTTTTCTACCAAAACCATGATTCTAGTTCATTTTAACAGAGGATGCGATCTGTGAGCACCAGACAGTGTCCAACCTGAATGTGATCAAAGGAGGTGAAAGAAAGGGAGAGGGCACCTTGGCACAGAGATAAAATGGGAAAGAGAAAATGCAAAGAGAAAGGCAGTATGTTAATTCAGCGTGGAAGCATTTGCATCCATAGAAGAGTGGCCTAGTTGATCCAAATCATCCAGTTCTGCAGCCTGTAAGCAAGCCTGAAACCTTGTCTCCTGATGTCTCCATGGGTCTGCAGTACCAGTACTGTTGCTAACAGACTGTGCACGCCCACCTGCAGGGCATGTGCTCAGAGCTGAGCTTTTTTGTATTAGATGGCATCCTAGGTAGGAAAATCAGAACACATGGGTCTGCCTAGTAGGATGAGATCAGGGGATCAAAACCTTCCTCCTCCCAAAGGAACAGGACATTCCGTAGCTGGATTTCTCAAATGCAATTTGGAAGGACTGAGACAAACCCCGATTTTCAGATGCACTGAAAGCCTTACTAAAAATAGTAATAAAGAAACCAGAATGGCTAGTCATCACTGGCCAAGCTCGTGTTTTGTGATCAGACCTATGCATGCCATGCTTTGATTTGTGAACTGTTTCAAAGTAAAGTTCCTAAACAAATCAGATACTGGGTACAAACTTTTTAATGCATTTGTTTTTTTTTTAGGCGTGTGGTGAAAGTTGTCTTTCCCTGCTAGCTTGACATTAACTACTCAGTTAGTAAAACTGTTGCTTATCAGATCTAATGCTGCTTCTAGGAAAACCATGCAATTCTTTCTTTTTGTAATAAATGGAAGAAACTTTCCTGTCTCTTCCTCCCTGTCTCTCTCAGATCATTTATGGCTTGACAAAACACTATCAAGGGTTGGCTGAGCACCCTCAGTCCTGCCATAGCCAGTGGATGGAAGGTCTCCAGCACCTAAGAGGTTCAGTCCTTCAGTTCCCATTTATCTCTCATGAACCACATAAAAAGGAAGCGTAAGTTGCAAGATTAAGTGATGCTTATTTCCCCCCCATACCACAACATTTAATAAATTAAGAGCTACTTTTATCTGTTAATTCTTTGCAGACATTCAGGCAGGTTTGTGAGAAAATTAACATCCTTCAAAATCAAATGAATCAATGCCAGCATCTGGCATACTTCACACCCTCAAATCAAGCTGTAACATGCGTGGCAAGCCCAGACCTTGATATAAAAGTAAACACTTACCTTTCTTGGTTTCACTTTGTCATGGTAGTCATATTGAAAAATCCCCTTGTAGCTAAGTCCTAACCACCAAGGAATTCCCTGCTTGTCCTGGAAGAGAAAACAGAGGGAGTTATGTTGAATGGGATGGGGAAATGCTGGAGATTTCCTAGGTTGTTATTCAAGGTGAAGATCTGTTTCTAAGCAATACCTTTGAAAGTCATGGGTGCTGTTAAATTTGCCCCTACTGAATTTCCTTAAGTCACGAAGCTCCACGGTGTTTAGGAGACAGCTGTTACACTTTTGGCCATGATCATATAAAACCATTTAACATGCATCACGTGTGATCAAGTTACTCAAAATGCTGCCAGGGGAGGTGAGAAGGTTTGACATGGGTCCCTTGTGCAGTGGTGCATCCTCTTTCTCTTCCCTGTAAGTTATTCAGTCTGAACACTCAGAGACTGGAGAGGAAGGAAAGTGAATCACCCAGCTGACTTGAATTATGTGGAGGGATTTTAGCATTAATCTTGAAAATGCTGCAGTAATGGGATCTGAGAGCTACCAAGTGATAAGGTCTGACAGGCTCGAACCCAACTGCTTTGTGTCTGAGTGTGCAATAAAATGGCCTTATGGAGTAATGGCTGATATCTGATACCAGCCTCTTTGCAATTTACTGAACTGGAGTCCTCAATGAAATTACATCTGTTCTGTTAATGTGATAGAGAATGGCAGGGTAAAACACAGCAAAACTAAAACCCCCACATCAGGCAGAAGGAAACCTATTATGTGCAATATTTGCTGCCTCATTGCTGCTTGCTGGTACTTATTGATCATGGAGAATTCACTGGAGTTCACTGGAACAGCTGTGAAATATTTGCAGGTTTGAAGACCCAGCCTGATCCACCAGGTCTTTCGTGATCTAGAATAGTCCAAGAGATCTGAATGCAAAGGACGCTGAAGGGATCCTGCCCTCTGGCAAAAGATGAGGCTAATGCTTTTCACAAAATGCCATACATATTAGCAGGAGCAGGCTGGAAATGCATCTCCCTGAGACAAGTACTGTCAGATATTTGTGTTTTTATGGTACCCCATGTGTGCAAGACATTACAGATATATGAAAAACCATATGATCTGTGCAGAGAGATAATGATGAAACACATGAAAACTTCGGGGGTGATGAATGAGGGACTATGCTCTGGGGAGTGTGAATCTAGCTTTCTTTATATGTTTATTGATTTCTCTGATTAAAAAAAAAAGAACCCTACACAGCTGGTCAGGAAGGGAAGTAATAATAATAATATGAGACTGGAAGATTTGGTGATAAATCATTAGACAGAAGAAATGAGGGATTTCATGAATATCTGCATGAAATTCACATAATTAGAAATGGAGAGCTGTTTGAGGAGGGGGATGTATTATCTCTAGAGTGTGGGACAGTGACTTGGCATTAAAGAGATGTACTGTATCTGTACCCATCTACCTACATCTCAAGCGAGGGGAGCTGCAGTCTGCGGGTCATGGCTGGCCCTGGTTAGTTGCTCATGGATCTGCTGGCTGGGAAAAGTCTGACCCTCTGGAACTAGAAAAAGGAGTGAAGCATGGAGTCTGCCAGTGATGTAGCTGTCTTATTCCTTTGGTGCTCCTTCACTGGCATCACCAGAGCTTGCCGCTGCTTGCGGGCTGAACATCTCCAGCACAATAGGACTGCAAGAGTTTTATCTCCAAGAACAGGATTTTCCTCTGTGGAGCTGTATTTACCAAACATTCACGACACAGTTGAAATAAGTTTATCCTACCACAGGAAGTAAAGTGAGACTTTAGTAGCAGTGTATTGTATTCTGAAAGCAGGATGGCTATTTGTGCCTTTCTCCCTCTCCAACAACAGTTTAATTCAATAAATGACCCTTTTTTGTAGCACGTACCTTCACTGCGTAATAATGCACTCCGTATGTTGGGAGGGATTCTACAATGCTCATGTAACTGCAAAACAACACAGAATAACATGTCTGAGAAGCTGAGAGGATGATCTCAAAAAAATGCTTTAATAAATAAATAATTAAGTACATAAATACTTAAAAATAAATCATTAGATGAGATGGGAGACATAGTTATGTGTTGTATTTATGGTCCATTATAAATATTTCCTGATAAAACAAAGGTCACAAGAAGTCACTCTTATTTAACTTACTTTACAATTGCTTGACCTCTTGTCTGACCATTTAGCTTCTTGTAATGTTCAATGACTCGATCCTCGCTGGAAAGGAAGAAATTAGATGTTTTATGTAATGGCAGTATCATGACTAAGAATCTTGCCAAAAAGGTGAAGAGATACTTCAGTTAATACAGCTACCAACTGAGGGAATCAAAAGATGCCAAGCAAAAGTGTTAGATGAGGGGATTTGGTGCAGCCCAGGGCCCATTCTCCACACTGCTTTGGAGAGTAAGACAGTTTCATGGTATAGATGGAGCTGTTCCACACCAGTGGGCCCCTGTGTCAGAGAACAGTTCTGGGCGTGTTTGATACACGCCTGTTGAGACATTCACCTGTGCACGGTAGCGATGTAGCATCCAAGAGCAGGTCAGAATGACCCAAATGACAGACTAAGAGACATCTGTAAGTTCACTTTTAAAGAATCTCATTCCTGTTTCTCTAGTGAGTGGGTAGCAGGAGAGCACAGAACCAGAGCTATTTGATGCATACAATCAGCTATGCTAGCAAGGTCGCAGCATGGCAAAGTATAAGCCAAGGATCTCCTTTTGAAGGTTCACAGTGCTCTCCTCTGGTTTCAATAGCATTCCTCTCAATCTACAGCCACGCAAGTCATCACAGCCTCCCAGCCTGGTACTTTCAGACTGGTCTGACTTTGGTTCTTCTCTAACTTCCAGCAGTGTAATGCCTGCAGGACCAGCTCTGTTCAATTGGCATGACAGAATACTTCAGTCCTCAGGTTTAAACGCAGTCTCTTGTTCTGTATGTTGCAACTCCAAGGATAAGGAATCTGTTGAGTCCCCTCGAGATATGGTGCAGACCTTGTCAGTCCAAGAGGAAGGAGACCGAAGCTACCTTTATGCCACCTTTATGCCCTCCTCATGTGGCACTGCACAAGCTTCCAGTAGTACCAAGTATCTATCTAATGCCACCATGCTGCATGTGCTTTAGGACAATGTGAACTGGCATTCCACCCTCCCTGCATTTCCTAGGTCCAGCTAGGGCCCTAATGAAGCCTTTAAAGGCTGCCACACGGTTGCCCACCATGAGGTAATCCTTCCCCAGGCAGAGCTGAAGCTTTTTTATTGCTAGACAGTGTGAAGGAGCACAGTAATGTAGGGTGGTCTGGTAGATGACCTCACCACTACTGCTTGGAGCTGCCCATGGGCACTTTTGTGGAAAACTGCAAAGCGTTTCACTGAGCACTAGCGCTGCCAACACGACTGCATCTTCTCATTACTGCCTTCCCCGTATGCATCCTTGTGCCAGAGAGATCTGCATGGAGCCAGAATCTCTGCTAGAGAGAAGTTCCCCTGTCCCTGCTGGTCCCAGCCTTCATAATGCCCTCAGTGATGTCACAGGTAGAGGCCACACAGAGCCTGCTGTGGCATCACACACAGGAAGTTCTGTGCTGTGACATCACGAGGAGGACACGCTGCACTGTGACATGAAAAACAAGGCATGCTGTGCATAGATGGGGGGTGGGATCTGGCACAGAGGAGCTGAGGATTGTGCATCCACCCCTGGTAATGCAGAGAGGAAGGAAAAGGAGCAGAAACACCAGCGCAGATAGCACAGAGCCATTCAAAGTAGACGGTCTGTTGGATTGTTGTCAGGGCCAGCTGTTCCCCCAGCAGCCTGTCATTTGTCTAAGAGTAACTGCTTTCCTTACTCTTACTCACTCGCCAAGTGACTTCCCCACTCATCCTGCAAAAATAAAAGGCTTCTTTCTGGGGCAAGGTGAAGCGATGTCCCACCAGCACGCCAAAGCAGGTACGGGGTGCTGACTGAGTCAGTGACAAATTGCACGGGTAAAGGAATGGTCCAGCTCTCCCAACAAAACCCTTAAAATGATTCCAATGCTTAGAAAAGTATCTGTAAGCTGTAAATTCAACAGTTACGAAACCATATTCAGCCCACTGATCCAGCAAGTACCACAGATGTTATGGGCGTGCACATGAAGGCAGAGTCCAGGTCTCCTGCAGTGATTATCATAAACAGGATTACTTTTGGAGCAATAACTGAATTACATGAGTGTTCAGTACTGGAAGATCTCCAAAACCATCATTCTTAATAAAAAAGATAGACGGAGAGGGCTTACAGCCCTTTGAAATTACCTCTTAAAACCACGATTACATGTGGATGCAATTCCTCTCTGTCTCAGACAGGAACAAGCCAGGACTGACTTCTCAGGAAACAATGGAGTTTCTTCAGTGGAAATTACTCTTAGCTTTGGTTTCCACTCTGTGCAGTTTATTGCACAGATCAAGCTCTCATATGGATGCCATTCAAGAAAGGACAGATGTACCTACAGGATGATCACCTAATGTGATTCCGGATACTCTCTGCTTTCTTACAAATGATTATTATAAAAGAATGAATATGTTCCCAGACCATACCCCTTGGGTAGGGAAGCCAACTGATGGCCCATTTCCTTCAAAAGGACAGATTAGATGTCAGGGAGCCTTTCTGAACAGTGGGGTGAATAAAATTATGTTCTCAATCCATAGTAAAAGATGTGGAATAAGTTCAGGCTCTACCCAGTTCTCTTAAACAAAGGCAGCACTCTTTGTACTTCCTTTGCCCCATTAGGATACTGGTGATCTTCCTTTCCATTGTATAATGTCTTGAGGTCCACAGATCATAGAATCACAGAATCATAGGATCATTAAGGTTGGAAGAGACCTCTAAGATCATCAAGTCCAACCACCAACCCAACACCACTGTGCCAACTAAACCATATCCCGAAGTGCCACATCTACACATTTTCTGAACAGCTCCAGGGATGGGGACTCCACTACCTCCCTGGGCAGCCTGGTCCAATGCCTGACCACTCTTTCAGGAAAGAAATTTTTCCTAATATCCCATCTGAACCTCCCCTGATGCAACTTGAGGTCATTGCCTCTCGTCCTGTCACTAATTACTTGGGAGAAGAGACCAACACCTGCCTCACTACCCCCTCCTTTCAGGTAGTTGTAGAGAGCAATAACGTCCCCCTTCAGCCTCCTCTTCTCCGGACTAAACAGTCCCAGTTCCTTCAGCCGCTTCTCATCAGACTTGTTCTCTAGACCCCTCACCAGCCTCGTTGCCCTTCTCTGGACACTCTCCAGCCCCTCAATGTCCTTCTTGTAGTGAAGGGCCCAAAACTGAACACAGCACTCGAGGTGCGGCCTCACCAGTGCCGAGTGCAGGGACACGATCACCTCCCTGCTCCTGCTGGCCACACTATTCCTGATCGAAGCCAGGATGCCTTTGGCCTTCTTGGCCACCTGGGCACACTGCTGGCTCATGTTCAGCTGGGTATCGACCAGCACCCCCAGGTCCTTTTCCTCCAGGCATCTTTCCAGCCACTCTTCCCCCAGCCTGTAGCGTTGCATGGGGTTGTTGTGACCCAAGTGCAGGACCCGGCACTTGGCCTCGTTGAACCTCATACAGCTGGCCTCGGCTCATCGATCCAGTCTGTCCAGATCCCTCTGCAGAGCCTTCCTACCCTCGAGCACCCAGATAAGTATCATCGTTGTTTCTACTTTCTTTTGAACAAAAAAATAAAGCCTGAATTATAAGTCTAGCATGAATATTTAAGAGCGGGACTTACTGCCTTTCACCTTTCTGCAACACTGGGCTAGTCAGGCTTTGGGGAAAGAAGCAGGTACTCCAGAGCACAGTTCATCCAATCTATTTCAGATAGCTTCCTTGTGAGGAGGTTACTGTTGCTTCTCTCTATTGACAGCAAAGGGAGCTGAGGGCACCTAGCTCAGATGGAGAGGTCTACACTGAAGAAATGTTCATGGTCAGATGAATCCCACCCCAGCTGCATGACAGTCTCTCCTCTAAGCGTTCTTTGAACTCCTTTTTCATTCTCACTGCCCTGTGCAAGAAGTATCATCCAGCACAGAGATCACTTTCTGCCTCTAGCTCTGGGTAAGCTCAGCATGTGCCAGGGAAAACAATCAAAATCATTCAAGGGTCAGAAGGAGCATTAGCAGAGCTTATAAACATTCTCCCGTATCGTTTCAGCTGTTCATCTCAGAGCGGCTGCCATGCTGCTATTAACAGCTGGCAGAGTGCTGGGACACTGCCTGGACCACCAGCTGACGTCTCCTCTCCCCCTGCTCTGGCTTGTTGCCGTGTCAGTGACACGGAGACTCGTTCATAACGCAGGGCTGACAGAGAATGCTTAACTAATGTGGAGACATAGAGGCTGCTGAAGCATTATGGTCTGTTTGACGGCTCATAAAACATTCCCCCCAAAGCTGCAAAAATTAATACATGGATGATATCCAGCAACAGACAGTTCCGATAAAGATCTTTAGAACTACCAAGAAATTCTTCATGTCCCAGCAGCTTACAGAACTGGACAGCAGACAACTTACAAGCAAATGCATGGCCAGAGTTTCTCACCACTGGATCCAAATTCTCGAAGGTAATTGTCTCCTCTCTCTCTTCCCATCACACCGCATTGTTTTAAATAGCTGTCCACTCACTGCTGTTGCTTACTGTTGTTCTGTTTCTAACCTGATTTGTCCATTTTGATTATATTCTCGAACTTACGTCTTTATTTGCAGTCATACACTGTCTGACTTAAGCCAGCAGAGCATCTCTGAGGACAAAGAGGCCAAGAGCAGGATCAGAGCCTCAAGTCTGTGCTGTTTTAGAGAAACAAAATACTGATTTTCAGCTGATATTTTCAGAGGTGGATTTTTTGGCAATGCTGATGCTGTAGATTGCTGAAAACAAGCTTTCTTCAAAGTCTGTTGGAAACTGGGAGAAGTCTATCTTCCCCCTGGTGTGTTGAAAATCCCATTCTAGCACCCACTTCTGTGCTGTTGCATCTCCTCCTTGACTTCTTACTGACAACCTAGTACTGGGCTGGTTTGCTGGGGTGGATCTGAATTGAGATAAAATGCAATGACAGTGGCTGGAAAGGAGCACTGTGAATTAACACATTTTCTGAAGGTTCTCTCCAATCTCTGTGATTACTTTTGTATCTAAAATAATAAATACTGCCAGTTGTTTGGAATCATAGAATCATCAAGGTTGGAAAAGACCTCTAAGATCATCAAGGCCAACTGTCAATGCAGCACCTGCTAACCCATGGCCTGAAGTCCCACATCTACACGTTTTTTGAACACCTCCAGGGATGGGGACACCACCACTGCCCTGGGAAGCCTGTTCCAATGCCTGACCACTCTTTCAGGAAAGAAATTTTTCCTAATATCCAATCTGAACCTCCCCTGATGCAACTTGAGGCCATTGCCTCTCATACTGCCACTAGTTACTTGGGAGAAGGGCATGGGCAAGAGAAATGAAAACTCAGGGCAAGAGAAATGAAAACTCAGGACCCCAGCTCTTGGACTGTTTGGGAGGACCAGAAGCTCAACTTTCATTTAAAAGAAAAAAACCACCACAAACCCACCAAAAGGCCTCTTCTTGCTTCACCAGTAGTCAGTAATGCTAAGAGATGCTTGAGAACAAGATGTACAACTGATTCTTCTTAATCTGTAGGGAGCTGGAAACAGCAACTTGATGATACGAAAGTAACAGACTTCAAGTGTGATGACTACAGACTTCCAAGAAGAGGTTACAGTGAAGGGAAAGGCCTGCAGCAAGGGTATGCAACCAGGAGGCTCCATGAAGGTGGAGCTGGAGGCACCAAACTATGCTGATTCAGTCCTTACAGCATCTAAGACTCCAGGAATCATCCCACTGGTCTTACTACGTTTGAGAGGAGCAACAGGTGATGCTTTTTCATGGTGTGTAATGGAAATGTTATATTATTTCATGCAGATCGATCACAGCATATCTTGCTGAAGGTGTCATAGTATTTAATTGATAATCTATTTTATCACCTCTTACTCCATTGCAGCTGATACAAACATAGCACAGGGTTCTTTTGCTTGTTTGTTTTAAACTAACTAGAGCAATTACCCATCCCACTCCTAATGTTTTAGATGTTTCTTTCTGGAGTTGGAAATTCACTTGTTACTGCTTTGTGCTAATGCTGAAGAACTGCAGCATAAAACTGATTGCACACAGAAAAGAACAGGATGAAATTTGAATCCAGTATGTAATCTGCACGAGATGCAGAAGTGTCAGAAAACATGGTTTTAAAAATCTGCGCTCTTAGATCACTGAAGTTTGATCTGTACTTTAGAGGCTTTTCATCTGATTCACTAGCAGCTGCTTCTTGATAGCATTAAGTACTTCAGATGATTATGAATGATTATGACTTCAGGTGATTATGAAAAAGCCACCATTAAAAAATAACGAGACCCAATCACTGAAGTGAAATCACAAGGGAGTAACAGGAGTGTAGCCACTGGCTTTATTAAGCCATTGGCAACAACCAGCTTCCCAACCTGCGACCTGTTCTCAATCACATGAGAACTCTCACAAAATTAAGTACAGCTGCAAGAAGTAACAGCCTTGCGTGTAACTGCAAATACTCGCATTCTGAGCATGAGGTTTTTACATGGCTTTTCTTACTTCAGGTGACTCAACATAGCCCAAACCCAAGGATAGTGTCCTGCGGACAGAGACAGTCCCAGACTTCATTGAGATTTCCCAGCAGAGGTCCTTACACAGGCACGTTGACTAACACTTGCCGACAGTGGGAGCAGACAGATCCTGATGGGTAGACAGAGCCTGACAGGCAGCCTGGGTCGTCACTGCTTCCCTGTGTACAGATACCATCACAGGCAACTGAAGCAAAGGCTGTGTGGGCACTTTAATAAGACCTCAGTCCGTGTTGCTGCTGAAGGGTCAGATTTGCCTTCTTTGTCCATGGCTACTTGTTCCCACCGGTCCTCTTATGGTGGCTTTTAGCTTGAGCTACCAGTCTGTCAGTCAGACCAGGCCACCGAATGCACTGCTCTTCAATGTGTGGATTAGTTTGTGAAAAAATGAAAGAGGTGCTCCAAAGAGGGAGACCATTCTTCTTCCAGTGAAATGGCAGCTGACATTTATCAATTTTTCAATTTGGTTTGGTTCTTAGACAGAAACACCAGGAGACTGTGATGATCCACAGCTTTTGTGTCAGTGTTCCTAACCTCAGCTGAGGACTCCAAGTCTGTCCTGATGTGGTCGGAAAGTGATTAGGAGACATCACAGACTAGCTTGCCTATGGCTTGACATAAGGTACAGCTAATTATGGTATTGTAGCCATGCTAGGAAAAATGGATGGCCTTCCTGGAAAAAGGGAAGAATTGAGATCATAAACTACAAACTGATTTGTTTCCCCCTGCACTCCTCAGATTACCAAGATGCAGAAATTAAAAGAATAGCTGATAAAGACGTTCACTCCCACCTCCAGGCTTATAGCCTAATGCTTTAAAGGCAACGATGAAAGAGGAACAAGCAGAGAATCAAGTGAAATCATCTCCCAATTAATGAACAGTCTTTCCCCAAATTGTTTCCTGTTTGCACAGATAAAAGGGATAGGCAGGGTGGCACAAAGAATCTATGTGTGGGGCATACAAAATTTAATTGCGACCCTGCTCCTACCCTGGATTTAATTTTCAGTGCAATAAAGACAGCGCTCCCAAGCCTCCACCTCTGAACATCACCTAGTTTGCATAAAAGGAGAAATATATCCCTTTTAGTTCAGCTGTGCCATACAGAGAGGACTTGCAAGATGAAGCTCAGTCACTCAAAAATAACACAGAGCAGTGCAAACATTGACATTTCAAACTGGGAAAACTCTTTGCACAGATGCAAAGCCTTGGGAAAGGAAATGGCACATTAGGCCTCTTGATTTCATCAGGACACTTGCATGTTTACTGTGGATTTTCTGGCCAGACATTACTGCAGCCATTTGGCAGATGGGGAAACTGAGGCCCAGGGTGGTAGCTCTACTTGTGTTGAATCATGCAATGAGTCAGTAACAGACCCAAAGCTAGAAGGTGGGAATCCCTGCATCCCAGTTCCACTCTCAGACCACTTATTGCTAGAGCCGGGTCTTGCATAAGACACTGCAAAGCTGCTCAGCAGAATGATACGTTACCAGTAAGCGAGGGAAGGATGCTCCTTCAGTGCTGGTGTTGGAAGGGCTGGCAGCTTCTTTAATTCATTCCTTACAACTTCATTGCTGAAAGAGAGTTCAAAAGGAGGATCAGGCTACAAGAAAACAACCGCAATATTTGATATGACCTGACCTAGCTGGCAGGCTGCTATGGCTCTACATCTGTTCCTCCTTAACAAAAGGCACTGGGGTTTCCTTTTTCTTTTCTCTTTATTTGTTTTATGGCAGCCCAGTTAACTTTTCCCTCTATTATCAAAATTGGAGAGAAACTCTCCCAGATGGTTATGTTGAAGCACTTCCTACCAGTGACTGGACACAAGAGCTACCACGTCACATTTCATTGAGCAGGGTCCCACGGACATGTTCATACAGAGAAAAGGCCAAGGAGAAGAGAAGAAAAAGTGATGCTTCCAGCTGCAATAAAGAACCTTTACTTAATGCTTTACAACCTGTTGCAAAAAGTAATGATTTGCTTTCTTAGCATCACAGGTTGTTCTTAGCCTCTTGCCCCAGTAACGTGGCCTTTGCACAACGTCTTCACTGATAAAAATCCAGCTTGAATTCATGTCCTGCTACACAGAATCCTCCGTGGGACCAGGCTCAACCACTTCACTAACATTCTTCTCCCTGCATCCTCTCGTGGCCATGCTGGCCGGCTGGAGCAGCATCACTGCACACCACCGAGCAGGGAGAGCTCATGAAATGGGAGGCAGATTCTTGCAGATGGAATGAAACCATGGAATTTTCTCCTACAAACCCAAAATACCTCCTTTCCCACTTTTAAACACAGAAGGAATTGTGTGCACATGAAAAAAATCCCTCAAAACATTGGGAAGGAAGGCAGTGTTGCTGTTACTTTTAAAATCATAATACACAGCCAAGAGGGCCAGACAGGACACTGAGGAGTGCCAAAGAATTAATATTTATTGGATTACTTCTTAATAGCAGTTTTTTTCTGCCTTCTTGTACCCTGCCCTTTGTCCTGCCAAAAAGGTGGCTGTCCTGGTGCTATGGAGAGAGAAACCTCTTCCAGCGCTCCAGATTTCCCAGCCCACTGGCTTCTCCTGTAGGGCGGCAGTAGGGACATTAACCAGGCAGACAGACAGTCTTGGCATGCCCAGCTGTAGACCAGCGATGCTAACATCTAAAGGCCAAGGGAGCCCTTGGACGTGCCAGGTCACCCTGAGTTTTGTTCTTGTCTTTGGGACAGTCTGTATGGTGGCTTGTAGAGACGTGATACTGCTTCAGTTGTTCTAAAAATCTTCCCACAGCGTTTCTCCATTTGCACATCCCAGCAGCAGCCTCTGCCCGAGACCTAGGTGGATATGTCTTAATTGGAGTTTGCAGGTTAATTGCTAGTTTGGGCCATAGGGTAAACCACTAACATAAATCCTGGAGCAGGCATTTGGGGTATGTCTACAGGCATTTATTATCGTGGTAGTTCCCTGACAACGAATTAAGTTTTAAAACAGGACCACAACTTCTAGTTAAGACAAATCCATTATAGAGATGCCCAAGTCTCAATTAGGTTCAACTTGTGCAGAGTGAAGTTGTGTAGAACAGCATTTACAAGAAATGACTAAGGCAACCACTTCCATGGTAAGCACATAAAAAACCACTCAGCAACACCTCATATGCCAAGTCAAATGACTCTTTGACAAACAATGTTTGAACACCCACTCCTGCCAAAATCTCATGGTCATCATCATGGTTTGACCATCAGATGGGTCTTCCTTTATAAGTGCAAATGCCCAAAAAATATTCAGATTTTTTCTTCCATGGCAGGTAAATATCTGCACAAGTCTGAACAAGAAGCTGCTCTGTTCCATGATATCTGCTGATCTGGCTGTTCTGCTCTGTGACTGACAGCCTAGAAAACAAGCTGTTGCTGTTTACAGAGTATACTGGGTCTGCCCAGAGATACCTCCTATACAGCACATGCATACTCAGCGCTTACTGAGTTTTTTGACATTTTGCAAGAAACTGGGGAAAAAAAAAAAGAACCCAGAACAATCGAAGCACAGTCAGCAGTCACTGCCCCTAAGTGAAGGTGTTTTGAGGCTGGCTGCTCATAGAAGGAAGTTGAGAAATTTCCAAAACTTTTCTGGGAAGATAGGGAGTAATTTCCAAACAGGGACTTTCTGAGTGCAGAAGACTGTCAAATAGGGTAAGATTAGTGGTGACTAACTATCTTTGAGAGTCTGGGAAAAAACCTGAATCAGTAATGGCTCACATAAAAGAAACAGCTAACAGCAATCAGCTCTATCTTTTCTGTCAGTGATGAGCAAAGCTTGCTTGCACTGTAATAAAAAGTCTTGTAAGAATCAGAGAAAAAGACATACATGCTTAGTGATGTTGTTGGATGGTATTAGCATTTCTGCTCAGTAACTAGAAAATACTGTAAAGGCAGTGCCTCACAACTTCAAAGCGACAAATGTATTTCAGGTAATCACTTCCAGGGAAAAAAAGGTATTTTGTTCCATGGTCCATATATTCACTAAGTCTTCTGGCAAGACTGCTCTCAAGACAAATGAATTTAGACTCCCAAAAGAATGTCAAATCAAGAAAATGGAAAAAAATAATGACTTAGGTGCATTTGAACCAGTGACCATGAGGTCACTCTCCTCTTGGCTTGTTTTAAAACACCAAACCCTTTAATTTTTAAAATGTGTCCAGCAGGATCACAACTGGTTTTGTACTTACTGCCATTCCT